CTAAATACCGAGGCGTTGTGTAGCTACGCAGAGAACCCCGCTCAAGCCGTAGAAGATCCGGCGCGAGGGAACAACCTCTCCGCAGGTGTGTCGTATTTGTTTTGTCTTCAAATAGGATCCTTTAACCATTGCACGCACAGATTTACAGTTCCTCCACAATGTTTGGCAAGTTCAAATTGAATCCGAAACAGCGGCGGCGGAAGTAAGCAGTTCAGTTGCTATTTCAACGTCACCCTTCATAAACCACTACTTCTATCATAGCGTTCATCCGAGTCGGAGCCCACGACGAGCTCGACGTCCGCACCCGAGCTGGTCTACACCGGTATCGAAGCCGCAGAACTACTAGCGATGATGGAGGATGCCCGCGATCCCATCCCGTCGTTCAAGGAGCTCGAGGTACGTCCACGCTCTGTTGTACTAAATCTTAATCCACTCCACTCGTTTACGTCGATTATCCAGGAAACCTTATATAACGCGTCAATTCCCCCGCTGTCGACGGACTGGACCGATCTCTACCCCTGCCCCCTCGTCGCAGAGGCGCGTCTCTCCTTCTATAACTGGGCAGTTTGCTAACCGTTGCTACTCTAAAACGCAGGGCGAGGTCAGGTACTCCCCTATCCCCAAAACTCCAGTCCCAGCGACCTTTGGGTTGAATGAGGCGGGTCTCGCTGCAAGCGAGGACCCCAAACTTATGCCCCAGGTGAGTGCTCGTCCCTCCGCAGAGACCCCACAATGTTCTAACGAGACTAGCTCGGTCCTTCACCCGACGGGCTTATGTTCTCGGGGTTGACTCACGCAAACGAGGGGGTATGTATCCACCATACTTTCTTTAGTCCCCAGCATTTACTTCGGCCTTGTAGCTATTCACCTTCTCCTCCCGGCCCCCCTTGTTCTTGGGGTTCAATCAGGTACGACTTGACCTCCATCGCCAAGTCCGATATCCATTCTAACGAGTCTCCGCCAGCTCACGCCGTCCTCTGTTCCCCTCGCACCGACGTCCTCGCTGCCTCTGGCGGCGCCGTCCTCGCTACCCCTTGCGGCGCCGTCCTCGCTACCCCTTGCGGCGCCGTCCTCGCTGCCTCCCGCGTCGTTCCACTCCGCGATTACACCTCTGCAGGCACCCGCATTGGGACCGCCCTTCGTGGTATGTCGCATCCTCTCCAGCGTTTGGGTGTACACTGACGAGAGCAGCTACAGCAGGCCACGCCCCAGGCCCAATCTTCCGTCGCAGGCGTCTCGGCAAATACCGTAAGGCGCCATACTCATCCGTCAAATACTCTACTGATTTTTCTTTCTAGGGCGTGCTCACGCCAGCCCCGGTTTCCGTACCGGCCGCGAACACCGTAAGGCGCCGCAATCACTTCTTGGTACTCTGCTGACTAGTTTACTGCTTTCTAGGATATGCACATGCCAGGCCCCGGCAGTCCGTTCCGCCACACCAACGGCCGGAAGTCTCAGCCGGGGAGCCCACAAAAGGCGGTCGTCGGGAAGGGGCCGAAGTGCTGAGATCCTGTTTATTTTTCTTCTTCTTTTGGGACATTCGGGCGATGTACTATTAGATGGATGTGTCTTTGTATTTTTCTCTCTTTCCTTCTTAATTTTTTCTCGGCTATGTACGTATGGATAGAGTGTACCGTATTTTATTCACGATGTTGTACAACTGGATGTATCGCTTCTGTCTCGAGACTCGTAATATAGATTGGATATGTGTACGAATAAGACGCAAACATGATATAAAAACATAAACATAACTGGAAAACATTCATGACATCCATCGCAAAAGGTACCATCGACACCCTCCCGCTGCCCTGGAGCATGAACCCGAGGGATGCGGCGCTGAAACTTGGAGGAGAGTAGGCCCACCGGGTCCCGCGTTGGCAACGGAGAACATGAACGGTTTTACGCGCTTCAGGGTTTGGGCCCGTCCGGTCGTGGTAGATGAGACCCCGCCGACGCCTTGAATATGGTTCTCGCCTTGCAGGACCCCTGGAAGGCTGGCTTCGCGCGCGCGTACCCTCGGTTCCGCTTCCCTAGACGTGCTGGACATCGCCGAGTCGAAGAACGCCGTCTGTGCATTCGCGCGCTCCATGAGGAAATCGGAGATCGTGGCGCACAGAAAACATTCAAGACGTCCATCGCCAAAGCTACCGCGAAATCCCATCGACGTACTGAAGCGACCCGAGCTCGACGGTGGTGAAGAAACTGCAAGCTGTTTGGGGCGTCCTGGCGAGCTTGAGTTCGAAGGCTTGTCGTCGTAGATGGAGATGGCGCGGATGTGAGAATGCTGCGAAGAAAATTGGAGCGAATGGGTCCAGCCAAAACGTCGTTTCCGCCGCCGCACCGTTGGGCGCTGGATTCGTATTAGCCACGGAGAACGTGAAGGGCTTGACGCGCTTGAGTTTCTCGTCCGGGAACTTCTCGTCGTAGTTGAGATGGCGCCCGCGCCGCCGTGACACCCCAGACGGCTTGAATGTCGTTATGGCTTTGCACGACCTTCTGGCAGGTAGGCTTCGCGCACGCGCTCCGTTTGCTCTGTTGCCCGATGCTGGACAGCATCGACTTGAAGAACGCCGTTGTCGTGCTACAGTTCAGGGGGACCGTGAGCACCTGGCGTGCTGCGGAGTGGGTCAGCAACAACGGACAAGCAGGAGGTGTGGACACGAGGCGCACCGGAGAACTCGTAGTCCTCCAGAAGATCCACCTGGCTCACGTCGAACAGCGTGAGTACCTTCACGGAAGCCTTCACGGTCCGGCTCTGCATCCTACGCAAAGTCAGCAAGTCGGCAACGGTCCGCGGGACGCAAATGACGCACTGAACGGCTCTTCTTCGCACCAAAGAAGCCCTCACTGACTGCGACCATGTGTAACTCACGCACTGCCTCGCATGTTGTGCTCGAGAACGGCGCCTTGCGAACGAGTTTCCGCTTGAGCTGCCATCGTACGCTGTCCTTGCCGTTCCCGACGCGCCGAGGAGGAACAACAGCTCGAGCTCCAGCGACTCGTCAGCGGGATCGAGCAGCCCCGACCTCACCAGCGGCTGCAGATCCACGATGTTCTTCGCGGATCTCATGCGCCTCTTGACGTCATGTATCGAGGTCTGAGTCCTGATAAACTCACACCCGCGCACGACACACCAAGCGGCGGCTCACCCTACAGCGCCCGAGCGAGTCATTCCCGCCGCTTTGTAGCGGCTTCTTGAACTAGAACTCCTGCCGGTATACACCGGTGCCGAATCGACTGTTAAGTGCCTTGAATTCTGCGTCGATTTGATGAGCGCTTCAGACGCGCCAGGAGACGGGGCCCTCGGCGCACCGGAGAGCACTGGCACGCGTTTCCCTTTGCCGCTTCCGAGTCGCGGATGAGAAGAGTTTGAGCGGGCTCGGCTATGGGTCAAGAATAATCAGCATCCGGCCCTCGATCTCAAGTCTCTACGCACCCGTAACACCCGATGCTGTCTTTCTCGCCAACATCGGCCCATGGACGCTATCGTGCAACCGGCGGTTGCAAGTCGCAAGGCACCTCGTGAATGTGGACAATCTTCTCTTTCTGTGCATCGGTGCCCGATCGACCAGCAGCGTTCGGCCGCGAGCGTTAAACGGTCGTCTGTCTAAATACTAGAAGAAACATCAATGGAGATAGGGAAGTTCCGCTTTGGACTTACCTTGGCCCGTCTACGATGTCGTGGCCCAAGTCGCGGTTCGTCGTCTTGGTTATACACAATGCGGTCGATCGCCGTATTGTGTTAGTTCAGAACTTCAATAGTTCGAATGTAGGGCGGCGCAACCATGTTATTTATGCCGCGGCCGTCTAGACACTGGTAGCACCAGCGGAAGTATTAAGCAGAGCCCTGCTTCTGCGTATTGTTGCGACATTTTCGTGATGGATTTGAGGAGGTTTTGTTGCTGAACCAACCAAGGCAGCGCACTTGTCCTACTGATACTCCGAGTCCAGAAATCGGCTGGTCGGGACCGAAGGGACTCGCTCCATCGCACAGTTGATCGTCTTAGGCTGCAGAAAAACGTTTAAAGGTTATGCCAAAGTCGATATGGCGAATGGACGGGCAAAAGGAGGATTTTGTAATCAAGAGACCTGGAGGATATGAAGAGAGGAGGGTTGTCCAGGTCGCCGCGTTATGGAATTTGAAGTGAAGTTGAAGCAAAGTTGAAGTGAACTTAGTGAAGGAAAAGATAGTCGACCGGCAAGCTGCACCGCCACGCCAACGCGTCAACACATGTCATTACCTCCCCATGGGGAGCAAATTGATGATCCGATTTGAACCGAACCATCTCCTACTTGGCTGACTTTGGCTGAGTGCTAGTACCATCCTCTAGCGCCGCTGACCAGCCCCATTAATTGCTATAGAACTTTGCTGGCTTGTCTTTCCGATCTCAGCCTTGGATGGCGCACTCACTAAAAGGAAGACGTAGACGGGAAACCACGGAAGACTTGAAGAAGCGGAGCGGATTGACAGCATCTAGCGCTCACTCGCAGATTTAGAATTCAGGCTGTCGACCCAGCGTCGGTAGGCTTACTGCATGGGCGAAAGGTGCGAGGCGGAGAACGCGAAGAAGGACTGGCGGACTCGGAATTGTGGGTGTTCGTTGTTAAAATATACGGGTCCAGCGGGATATTTGTCAGTTGCGATGAGAGATACAAGGAAAGAAGAGACCGGGGTAGAGGTGAAGGAAAGGCAAGGACCAACGCGTTCGAAGATGAAGGTAAGAGAAGCTGCACCGCCACTGACGCGTCAAACGCGCGTGCATGCTGATCCTTCTCACGCATAGTCAATCTCTTGATGCAATCCGAGTCCGTATCCTTCCGTATCCCACATTCCATGGCCAGCGCCAAGCCAGCGCCATCTTCCCCACAATAAATCGATACCTCGGTCCCTCACGAAATAATAGCCATTTATTCGACTCTGCAATTTTTCGCAACTCCCCGTCTGGTTCAATCGTATGTACACATGACATGTGCAGACCGAAATCTCATACTCCTTCGTGGTTACCATAGTTCAGTGGTAGAACTGTTCCCCATGTTGAATTCTCAGCATGTCGGGAGGTCGGAGGTTCGAATCCTTCGGGTGCCATGTTGGAGCCGGGTTCCGGGCTTAGGCCCCGCTTCCGCGAGAAACACCAGTTGCAGTCTCCTCCTGTGCCCGGCGCTGTGTTTCATTCATGGGGTTTTTTTTTCTTCTGCATTTCATTCGCACGCTCACAATTCTAGTCATGGTTGAGCCAAGTCGGCGCACGCCAATAATCATGTCATAGGGCAGCACGAATGCGACGTGAGGTTTCGCAAAACACTGCTGTAGTAGCCGTGTGCGCAACGAAGAGTATGGCTCGCGCGGAAGAAGCAAGAAAGAAAGACAAAAACCGCAAAAAAGTCGAGAAACCCACCGCAAAAACTAATACAGGAAGCGCTCCACCTCCGGACGGCAATTGTTCAAACAATCCATTTATATGTGGGCAAAAAGATAAAAGGAGACTTGAAGCCGGACATATACTCCTAGATGCGAGCCAGTTTTTCGCGGAAAGGAACACATAATCTATAATCCACCTTGACGATCACTTTCTCCCCGCTGACCTTGTTGTTTCTGAGCAGATCCAAGCCCGTCGCAACGCGCTCCTTGAACGTCCCCTGGTCCAACAATCGGACCCGATTCGGCTGGATAAGCCCCGACGCCAGCAGCTGTGGCAGGATCTTGGGCATCATGTTGTCCCTCAAGTACGCGTTCTGAAGCCGGTAAATACACCTCCACACAAAAAGAGAGAGCCGACGCACCTCGGCGTAATCGAACGTCCGCACGTACGCGATCTTGGTCTGGGGCGGGAACGGGTTCCGCCCCTCCGGGATCGCGAGATGCATCTGCGCGTCGCCGACGGCCACCGTGTCGCCCTCCTTGATGGGCAGCAGGAGCGCAACGGTCCCCTGCGGGCTGATAACCTGCGCGATCTTCGCCATCGTGCCCATCGCCGTGATCGAGTCGAGCGCGAGCGCGACCTTGCCGTCGCCGCCGACGGCGCGCGCGATGTCCGCCGCGAGGGTGGGGCTCGCGTAGTCGACGACGCTCGTCGCGCCGAGCCCGCGCAGGAACGCATGGTGCTTCGGGGACGCGGTCGCGACGACGTTGGTGTACCCCGTGGCGTGCAGCAGCTGGAGGGCGTACTGCCCCGCGGTCGAGCCCGCACCGTATATGAGGATCGGGGTGGCGGGGTTCGGTGGCGGGGTCGTGGCGGGGAAGCTTTCGGGGCTGGGCAAACCAAGCTGGTCGAACAAGGTGTAGAAGGCTGTGACGCAGTTGTCCGGGATCGTGGCGGCGGCGTCCAGGGCGAGGCTGTCGGGGATCTAACGAGGGGAATATTGGTATGTAGAACAAACCGTGCGGGCATCCGCACCTTTGCGCAGAGGTAGTCCGGCAGTACGACGAACTGCTGGAAAGTACCCTTGAAGCCATGGCCAAACACGCTGAAAGCGACCACCTACGAAAACTAGTGGTCAGGGCTGAAAATAGCCACCATTCAAGTTGCACGCACTCGATCGCCGACTGCGAGTGAGGTGACGCCCGCGCCGACCTCCGCCACGGTCCCAGCAGCATTAAACCCGGAAATGACCGGACACTCTGTAACACGATACCCCACATCCGCGATTCGGATATAGGTGTCGAACGCGATCATCGACGCGTACGCGACTTTGATTCGGACGCTCCCTGCCCCGGGTTTCTCCGTCTCGACCTGGATAGCGTCGAACTGGCCTTTGGCCAGGGTGGCAATTGCGGTGTGAGTTGGCATCTTCAGCAGAGGTAGGTCTTTGTGAGGGATAAGCATTCATGTGGAGAGCATTATATGTATTTAAGCCACGGCCGCGTTCGCTCTTGAGAACGGTTCACTGAGCAAGACGCTTACTGAGGGAGGAGGATGAGTAAGACGAGGACGGCAACCACGGTGAACCCAGATACGAGGATGAGTAAGACGCGGGCGGGAAACACGAAGATTATTCAGGCATGAGCCAGACGAGGGCGGCAACCACGGTCGACTGGAAGAAGCGGAGCGGATTGACGGGCGTCCGGCGCATAGTACGGCAGGCAGCACAGATTTAGAATTTGGCTCGAGGTCGAGGCTCACTACATGGGTGAAAAGTCGCGAGGCCGAGGATACGCGAAAGACGGAATTGTGGGTATTCGTCGGCCAAGTACTATAGGACCACAAATTGATGGATTGATTAACAGCTTGCACCAGGATCTTGGGCGTCAGGATGTCCTTCAAGTAACGCAATGCAGAACGGCGCCTCGAGGATAGAGAGAATTCCGACCCGAGTTTGATAAAACCATCTGGATGAGTACCAAATGGGCTGAAATTCAGCTTTAAGTACATGTGAGCATCCCGGATCCCACTCCGTGCACATATCTATTCCTGTTCGGACACGTTCTCCAGTGTCTTACTCCACGCCGCAACCTTAGGATGGCCTGGACCTGTTAGACGAATATCATCAGCTTCTACAGAAGCAACGGCGGAGGGGAAGGCGAGCGTACTTTACTCGGGCCGAAGCTGAGGCCTGAGGGCTTGGAGGCCCGCGAGGGAGGTCGCACGGGAGAGGACCACATAAACTTGACCTTGGTGACCCCGCAGTCACACCAGAACGAATTATAGGTAGAGCGAGTGCAGCACCCACCTCCCCAGATCAACTTCGACACGCTCTAGCATCTGCCCTGCGACTTGTGGATGCTCATGGCCCAAGCAAGGATCAGGGGGAGCAAACAGAGAAGCGAAGTCAGGTCAAGAAGATCCATGAGCCGACAGCTGAAACGCACCTGGGTCCCACTGGTTCGTATCTCTCTCGATGGAAGCTTGACCTTGAAGGGTTCAGGTGAAGTAAAGCGTTTCCACCGCCATGAAGTGAGCAAGCATCTTTTCCCGCGGTGCAAGGTCCTGGATAACACCGCCGTCTGCCGCTTTGAAGGTCTCGACTTTACTCGTGAGCCGGTTCATGCGACCCGAGTTGGAGCGATGGACATCCTTCCGACGGGGAAACCTGGATGTCGCAAGCCCAATAAGCACATAGATAGAAGAAAGAGGAAACACGTACACTGTACAGCTCTGTGGGACCGAGGCCGTCGGCGTACTCGATTGGCCTTGACAAGGAGCGGAACTTGTCGATGGATTTCTGGGTCAACCGGCCGAACCGCGTGTCGTTTGGCATATCCACGAATTCTGCACAAACTCCATAGCATAGATTCTCGTCTTAGGCTGCAGAGAACGTCAAAAACGTTCTGCCAAAGTGGATATTCTGGCAGGGAAAACAGGCCCAGCGGAGCAACAAAGATCGATGAAGTGAGTTCGCTTTTGGTTCGCTTTGGGAATTGGGAATGGCGGACGGACGCGCAAACCGGAGGCAAGCTGCACCAGAACGCGTCAACACATGTCAACACCCCCTCAAAGCAAAATTGATGATCTGTCACATCTGATGACCGCGATTTAGTGAACCGAAGTTTGAACCATCTCCTGGCTGAGTGCCTTCAGCGCGGCTGACGAGTCCCATGGTATAGAACGCTGGCTTGTCTATTCGACCTTGGCCTTCGCTGGCGTAATTGCTAAATCTACGGAAATCCAGATGTCGTGCACACTGTAGTTCAGTGGTAGCAGGTCAAGGCCAGACCCGGGGATGTACCCCCATGCCGCAGGAGCGGGCGTTCGCGAGGGGATTCGTAGTAAGGCAGTCCCTCCCTGCCTAGCGAATTCGGTGTGGTATTCTTGCTCTCTATTTTTCAAAGATTTGAATTGACTTTTTCTCTCTGGTTGAGTTCGGCCAATCTACACATTAGTACGGTGTATTTTGCGACCGCCATCCATTAAATTCCGTGATGCCTCTTTTAGCTGGTATTCAACACCTAGAGACAACCCTCAAAAAACAGCGGATGGCTTTGAAGTGTATCCGCAAGACATCTCCGTTTTGGATGAAACTTTTTTTATTCACTGTGAGGTAGCGGTTACGCAGGGCGAGTAGAATTGAAGAAAATGCGCTCTGAGGGCTGATACAACTGTCAGTTAATCCCCCTTTAATATTTAACTGAAGGAAAGGACGAACAAGTTATAGGCATCCGGAATGGGTTCTGATAACTAGCACTGCTTATGAGCAGGAGTTGCAACGTTCGAATTAAAGAGATTTACTATATGCTACAATACAACAAAGACACGCAAAAAAAAGGAAAGCAATCCCAACCGAAACTATATACATGGTGCAAGCAAAGCGCACCGAAGGGATGAGCCATTATGTACACGAAAGCACAACGGATCAGCGCCCGTCGACGAAATCCAGCGCCGAATCCAAGCTCTTGACGAGCTTCTCCGCGCGTATCGACACCCCGCGAGCGAGCCCCCGTCGTTTCTTCTTCACGGATGCCGTCCCGTCTGGTCCGGTAAACATCTGGCCCATGTAGTCTCGCGGTGTCCCCGGGCTCACCGGGGCGGAAGGGACTGGCCGCCCCGAAGACGTCGAGACAGACAACCGTGGGCGCATTGGCATCGAGCCCGCCGCCGCCTTCTTCTCCTTCTCCTTCTCCTTCTCTTTCCGCCGGTCCGACTCGCTCTCCTTGTCGCCGCGGTCCTTCTTGCGCAGGAGCCCCTTGCCTCCCCCGAGGCTCCCCTTGCGTGAGACGACCGCCGTGCGCGGCACCTCCGTGATACCGCTCGAACTCGCCTGAGCAGCCGCCTCGCGCTCGACGCTGGAGGGCCGGCTGCCCTCACCCCAGCGCGCGGCGCTCCCGATGACGGGCATGCTCGGCCGGCGCGCGAAGGCATCTAGGGGCATGGGCATGGGCGGGAACGCGTGCGCGTGCGCGTGCGAGTGGTGCGGTTGCACCTCGTGCATTGACACGGAGTGCAGCAGCGTGTGCGAGTGCGCGCGGGTGTGCGCGTGGTACGTATGGCTGTGTACGGAGCCGCCATCGTCGCGCTCCGCGGCCACGAGCGGCGAGAACGCGAATGCGAGGGACTCATCGGACGAAGGGGATGAGAGCACGGGCGTCGGGTATGTGCTTCCGCTCCCACTGGCGTTGGTGTGCGCATAGGTACTAGGTGTGTACGAGCTGCT